TGCATAAATAGAATATGAACCCTTTAGAATAGTTCAAAGTCCAATTGAAATCAATAACAATGAAGCAAAGAAAACCCCTGCTTAAAATAAACAATACAATAATTTTATACAACACGAAAATCAATGTTAACGAAAAATTTTATATGTAAGTCATTATACTGAGCTTATTTGCTCACATTAGATAATTAAAAATATCACAAGTTATATAATGAATAATGCAATACAGAAATGTCTTCCGTGAAAAAAGAAAGAAAAATATGAATTAAGATTGACGCTTACAAAAGGAAAATCAACAATAATTTATTAAATTTCACATACATATGTAATAAGTTATTCTTGAACATTGTACCGAAATTGTATATATAGAGTATAATTAACTTTAATGAAGATATATCTCAGATATAGATGTGTTATTGGGAAACCTTCGGTCATAAAAATCAAATGATTTACAAGCCATATTTTCATACCCTATAAGGCAGAAGTCCCAAACAATGCTATCTCTAATAATGAAACAGCGCCAAGCTAATTTGATTTTCTTTAATTATTTGCCCTGAAGACAATAAATGTTTATTTAAGGCCTACATTTACTAAACATATCTCGAGCATTAGTTAAAAAATGCAATAAGAAACGAAAAAAATTCATTTATATTATTAAATTATATGCATTACTAATTTATATGCATGGAAGAACATCGTAATTGGAAAGTGGAATAGTAATACTATTTTCATAACCTATGCTTTAATTTATTGAAACAGACTATTTGTTTTTAATTTGTGATTATTAATTGCATTTTTGACGATTTCTATAATATAAAGAATACAGAATGTACTATGCGTATATACATATATCTAAATGCTGACACTCAAAATTGCAAGCATAAAAATCTTTGCGGAACAAACAGACGAATTGTAAGAAAAGAATTGCCATGAAACATAAAGTTGCTTACCCTTTATCATGAAGAACACACAACACTCTTGAGTCTTGTTCAAAAATTTAAATAATTCAATATCAAATTACATTCCACTGATATACATACATATCATATGCGATATTATGTGCATGTGAATAGGAATATAATTTGAAATATTATTGTCATCCTGGTCAATGCAATCGGTGGTGTATGCGTTGGTTAAATATTTAATTACACAAACATACATATGTATATGTTTATGTATGCATAAATTTATATACATACGAGTTTGTGTATGCGTGCAGTAGACTTAGAGCTGTACTTGCTAGCTGGCAGTATAGTCGGGGATGCAGTTGGCATTGAATTTGCATAAATGCATGCTATTGAAAATGCCAAAGTGGCTGCTGTTGCATGGCAATCCCGGACTGCAGCTCAACTCCCATTTTGGGGGAGACGAAACGCGACAGCTTCCAATTGCTGCAGCTATGGTGGGTGGATGGGCTGGTTAGTCTGTGGACATGGCTTGTGTCCGGTGGTGCTGTATGCGTGGCAGAAAAAGAGGGCGTTCAGTTTAGTGTCCGAGCAATGTGGTTCATGCTATTGTTGCATTTCGACTACAGCGGAACAATCTAAATGATGATGCGCATTTGTGCAAATGACGGCAACCGCCAAGCCTCCTCTACACGTCTCGCTATATTCGGCTCGGTCGGGCTTGTTTATCGAGTCTGCGTGGACAACGGGCGATAAGAGCCAAAACCTTCAAGTGCGCTCGATGCTACCACTTTGGCCATGAGGAAGGGTTTTCGAAATAGTAGCCAACTTGCATCACCAACAAACAGAAGCACGCTCACACTCACTCACTTACACCCATGCATTTACGCATTAACGAATTTTATGCATTGCTCGAGTCTCTCCGGCTTTCGGCAGACTCTTCCCCTAATTTAGCTGCAGAATCGTAGAGAACAGCTAAAGTTAGACAAATCTAGTGCTCGCGCGGCATCAGCTCATAGAAATATAACAAGTTGGACGTAACCACCGCATAATATGATGTACGATCCTGGTGCAGTCAATATTATGCATATTTCTTTAAAACTTTGCTATAAGCGGATCGCGAAATTATAAGGGAGAGAGGGCCCTATGGTTCACTCGCTAACCTTTTCTTATCCTATATTTTACCTAACATTTGTGGGCCAATAATAATAATCACCCATTTGGAAATATTTTATAATTTAATAAAAAACTATTGTTTTTTTGCGTCTATTGATTGCCTGTTTTCCGGAATAAATGGACATTTTAGAAAGCCAATACACTCTTTCATTTCCTGAGCGAGTATAAAAAATGGGCTGATTCGACAATTGTCGCACAGTCGGCAAACTTCACACTCATATGCGCCACCCACAACCCCTAACGAGAGCGCATTTATTTGTTGGAATGAGCCCGTTTGTTTGTCGAATCCACACACTTTGGCCAGTGCAGAGCCTGATAATGTTTTCAACATTAAATTCCCATTAAATTCTGTTTTATTGCACTTGAAGCTGCATGCATAATTTACTCGCATCCTGCTACGTGCCGTTGCATACTCCAAAGTGCATGTGGTCGACCACAGATACTGGGCTCGCTCCATCTTCATCTTCTTCTTCATCTATCGCTGATTCTGAGTAATTGTATCACATTCAGTTTTCACACTACTAAATACTAAATCTGAACTATGGTCACTAAATCCTAAAAATCTTGAATTACTTGGTTGACATCAAGTCATATATTTACTTTACGAAATGACTGATAACAAAATGGAATTCGTACTTTTTATATACATAACATTTTTGTGTGTATGGATATTCGTTAGCACAATTGGATATTCGTTAGCATTTTCCTTGCATGAAACTAATTTGGTGTGGCGAGTCTCAGTTTTATTTCACAATACAAATAGCCAACTCTCAGACTCGATGACAGTATATGAATAGATCTTTGGCCTTTCTGTCAAATTATATGTTTTCGTGAAATCAAGATAACAACAATAACAATTTAACAGTTGCAATAATTATTTAACAATTAGCAGCTCTTTCTTTCTTTCCATTTCATCTTTGCTCACTTCTGTACTCAAAAGCATTCATTTTCATCCATTAAATTAATAATATAATAATTTCTTGCAACAACAATTATCATATCATATATGACTATAAATGATATATATGTATCTCATGATTCAATTTGATTTCTTCGTGTTTGTCCTAAACAAGACATAATTTCCAATCTATATTATTTCGCTGTCAAACTAAATGAAAGTAATACTAAATTGATGGCGAAAATTCAGTTATAAATGTTATTACAAGTAAAACTACACCACAAGCAGCGCTTTTTAAAAATTTTTATAATTGTCTACGTAGAAACCGACTTCATTGCAGTTGTAATAAATTTATAGTTGAGCAATTTTTTTTATTTGGCAGACAATTGCATGCATGCCACAAATACAAAACACATCTGCAATACATGAATCACGCAACCATGTTTTAGTAAGTTGTTTTACCTAGCCTTAAATAACACGCTTAGATAAATATGTGATTCACTGGACAGGCATTATAAAGAAACCAAAGATAGTGTCGGACAAGAGCCTGAATGCAATGCCTAGGCCTTATTTATGTTCCATACCCGTCTGTCCTATTTAAAAGACAAATACTTTAAAGAATACTTTTTATTATAATT